AAACAGAATATATTGATTAAAAATGTCTGAGTGTGCCAGGTGGTGTTGTTGTTCGCCTTTAATCCCAGCACTGAGGAGGCAGAGGCAGGCAGATCTCTGTGAGTTCAAGGCCAGCCTGGTCTACAGATCTTGTTCCCGGACAGCCAGAGCTAAACAGAGAAACTCTGTCTCGAAAAAACAAAAAAGTCTGAGTGCTTTATGCAACTTATCTTGCTTTCTGTCAGGAATCTTTCTGCCAGCCTTTCTGGAAGAAAACTAGTCCTTGCATGAACATACCCAAAGGAAGAAGGAACTGATTCCCAAGCCAGCTACCCATGGGGCCATCCCAGCTGTCAGTGTCCTTCTTTCCATTGGACAAAGCGCCATCATCTAGTTCTGCTGTTCTCTTCCTCTGCTGCCTGCTAACAACCTGACAGTTGAGCAGCCAGAAAGGATGGTCAGAGGAAGTGGTCCACTTCCACTTCAGCGAACATGGTTTTCTGCACTGGAATAATCCTTCCAGAACAGGATATGGTCTTCTTAGTACAATTCTGGCGCCATAACATCCTGCATCTTGGACATGGGTAGAATTTGAGCCTGTTAGAGCAAAAGCTTACGGGAAACTGACCACCAGCTTCCTTCCCAGCCTGTTAGTAGTAACAGGATCTGCTGTGTTGCTCAGACTGGCCTCAACCTTTTTTTTTTCTTTCGTTTTATTTGCATTGGTATAAGGGTGTCATCCCCTGAAACTGGAGTTATAAACAATTGTGAGCTGCCATGTTGGTGCTGGAAATTGAACCTGGGTCCTCTGGAAGAGCAGCCAGTGCTCTTAACTGCTGAGCCATCCCTCCAGTCCATGGCATCAATCTTGTAATCCTCCTGCCTCGGCCTCCCAAGTGTCACAGGCATTCGATACTACATTCAGAAATACTAATTTCTTATCATCATTTTATTTGATCCTAAAAACCTTAAAAGCTAGGACAGGTATTTCTTATAAAAGCATAGGTAGCATTGAAATCTTTTACAAATTCCTCATATTTCTGTGTCCTGTACAAAGTTCTGACAAAAGGATAGATGGTTTCCAAGAGCCTCAAGGAGACATCTGTGGAGGAGAGGGTGTAAGTTGGGTTCCAGAAGCTGGGCTAACTAGCCTTCCTTCTTCTCTTCCAGCACAACATGCCCTTCTGGAGGATCACAAACCATGGAGACCTGGTGTCCCTGCACCAGGCTTTAGAGCTTGACTTCCTCTGAGAACTGGAACGTAGAGCCTTCCTTCCTTGTGAGCTTCTTTTACCTCTGACAGGAGTCAGGCCAGAGCCCTCTGAGACCCTTCTCTCCTGTCTGTCTGTCTGTCTGTCTGTCTGTCTGTGTCTCAGCGCCCCTTCCCCTTCTCTTGTGCTCTTTCTCTCTCTCTCTCTGGAATGCTGGCGAGAACACAATCAGAACCAACTGCAGTTTTTGCTACGAGCAAGCCGCGGCCCCGTCCATAGTCCAGCAGGAGGTGGCTGGCTGGAACAGCAGACTTGATGCCGCTACTATGCTTTAGTTCTGTTTCATTCAAGAAAGAAGAACGAGAAAAGGCAATGCTTGGGGCACAGTTGCACCTTTGGTGCATGGACAGACTGGGAGCTCCTCCTCATCATGCTGATGGAAAATGTGTCCCATGAGAACATCTCCTGTAATCTTAGATGTAGAAGTCCTCTCCCAGTAAATGGGTATGTTACTTTTGTAGCTGAGGGACTGGTCTCTGAAGCACTCCTCCCCTCCCCCATGAAGAAAGCGGTGTGTAAAGTTTCCGTGACAGTGGTAATGGAAATGTCTGAAATACCTCTCTGTGTCAGCAGCACCCTTTAGTGGCCCAGGACTCTGCTTTCCAGGAGGCTCCTCACTGTCTTAGGGCCCTGGTCACTTATTAACTTTAGACTTTGGCGTTTCCCGTCTTGTAAGCCTCTGTCTCCTTACCAGTCCTTCATCTGTAACCAAAAGTCACAACCCTGGAAACTCCTTCCCAGAAACAATAAATCTACACCTTTAGCTCATAATTAAGAGACTGTGTCCCAGGAGGCTCACCCTCCAAATTGGAGAGAAGGGGCTTGGGGTCCTTAGGAATTTCATCCTTGGCTCCTGAGGTAGGAGTCTTCCTAGTGCTCCTTCTGCAGAGCAGCTCCTGTTCCCAGCAGATGCTTGCTCTGTGGCCAGCTCAGTCATCAGATGTTGGGTTCACACTCCCTGCTCTCTCTCAAATCCACTTCTTTCCATGCAGCTCTGGCCAGCCCCCGCCCTCTCAGGTAAAGTCAAAAAGTCTTGAGAGCAGGCTACACCTGCTTCCTTTGCCCTGCACTTACATGCAGTTGTCCAAACTTATATTTGCCCAGATTTGTGTCTGGGAATAGAGAGCAGATTGTTAGAACCAAAACCCAATTTCCCATGAAATACTCCGTTTCTCAGATGCCATGATGAAGTGGGAAATCAGGCCAGAAATACTCTCTTGACTTAAATGCCTGAAAATGGAACCCTGAGCTAGTTGCAAGGGCCCTGTCAGCCTGCCCCAGATGCTTTGGAGGAGAGTCTGGGCATAGTCCCAGCCTTCAGGTCCAGCTGGGTTTTGTTTTTTGACTTTGTTGTTATTGTTGTTTTGTTTTGTTTGAAGGCACTGTCCCTTGAGGACCAATATGAGGTCCTTAATTAGGGTAAACTTCCCTAGAGGTGAGGAAATGTGCTACTCTGGTCCTCAGGAGGTCCTTGACCAACCACTGTTGCAGTCACTGTCCCCAGAAACGCTGCAGCACAGAGGCTACCAGACCGCAGCAGAAAGGCTGGCACACCATCTGCAGAACTGTTGGCCAGTACTTCTGAGAGCAGCAGTTGAGGAAGGGGCTCAGACAGGAAGTGAGGTTGGTGTTCCATTTTAGTCACTCATTTGGCTTTTTTTTTGAGATGGGGGTGGGAGCAAAGAGGTGGCATCTAAGCCTGACTTTCCTAGGCTACATTGAGCACCACCATCCCAACACTGCCCGGCCTTTTTTCGTGGTTCATCATAGAAAACTTGAGGATAAGTTTTACTTTGAAGCCTCAACCCCGTCCCTCGTTGCCAGTGTAGTTTCTTATCCTGGACAAAGGCCACCTGTTGACTTCAGGCTTTTAAGACTGTCAAGTGGTGACGCACAGCCTTCTGCACACAGGTTATACCATGAACACTTAAAGGGAAACTCTCCATTCTTAGAATGTAACATGGAATCCCTTTCCATCTTGCCCTGCCTGCCCAATTTAGCTCTCTTTACAAAAAGAATTTGGACTTGGCCAAGAGAAGCAAGGAGACACTGAGCTGAGGAGCCTCTGCTCTGGCAGCGACCACCCTGTCGGGGCAGACAGGAAGCAGGGGTGTATTGGTGTGTTGCTGCCCTTGGCATTGACTTCCCTCCCTCCCACAAAGGCTTGAGTAGGAAAATGAGCTGGTAGCATTAGGAACTGTTGGTACTAGAAAGACGGCTTGCTAGTTAATAACACTAGCTGCTGGTACAGAGGTCAAGGTGTAAGTGCCCACAGGGCTGCTCACAACATCTTTAATTGTAGTTCCAGAGGACTTATGCCCTCTTCTGGCACCAAGCACTTACATACATGTAAGAAAACACTCAGAAAATAAAATTTCTTTTAAAAATCAAAAGCTGTTGGGAACTTGGAGCTGCAAGAAACTGGGTTGTTTCATTAAAAAGAGGCCGTCTTTACTGGACAGAGCGCCCTGAGCAATCGCTGGTGCATCCTTCCCTGCTGGATTCAGTGTTCTGAAGGGTTAGTGTAGATATCTCATGGTGTGGGCTGATTCTAGGAGTGTCCTGGGATATGAGGTGACTTTCGAATGTAAAACTGATTGTGCCTTAGCATCACCCTGTCCAGTGCCCCTGGGACAGCTGGTAATGTCCGGGAGAGTGGATCCCTGCTCCAGAATTTAGGTGCCTATTTTGGGCTTTTAATTTGGGGGTGTTCTGTCTTCTGTACAAGTTGGGTGTCAGATCTAGCATCCCAAGAGACTTGGCACAGTTTGTTTGCGATTCACACAAATTCAGCCTTCGTAGCTCCAACTAGAATCTGATTGACATTGCAGTTGCAAGCGTGTGGCACTTCCAGACACTACTTTGAGTAGGAGTCACAGTTGACAAGAGCACCAGGCAAAGCATGGGGGGGGGCTATCTCCCAGGTGGCAAGCTTGGGCCCTCCTTCATTCCTCTCCAGGGTGTAGCAGAGGCCCTTCTTGACTAAGTTTATGTTCCTTGCTGCTAACCTGGTCTTCATCTTGAAGAAGCTAGAACTATCCAGACAGACTTATTGTAGATGCCAAGTTGGAATTCTGAGGTCAAATATCTTATCCACTAGAGGCAAAAATCTGCTTGTGTCTCAACCCTGTCCACAGGCCACCTGTCCTCCCTCTACCCTGAGTCCGCTCTAGCAAGCAAGACTCCCTGGCTGCCTCCTAGCACACTGGGTGGAGCCATCCCATTAAGGACCATTTCTACTTGGATCACCACTCTCCCTCTGGACTTCAGATGCCTCTTTAGCAAGAAAAGGCATCGGTTGGGTTGGATATATTTATGTGACTGCAGGCATTTGTGGCTATAGAGTCCTTGATCATAATGTTATATGTAATGGGAACTATCTTATAAACTTGAAAAAAATAAAATTTTTATTTTCTATTCAATTTTCTCATTTGTCTTTTTAAATACGGTTAGTCCAGTTGCTGAGCCAGGCAGGGTCCTAACCAGGGCTTCATTAAGAAAGATGTCAGCCTTTCAATAACTGGGTCATTAATTTCATACACACAAAAAGTGATCATTTGGTATACGTTGGAAAACAAGGAATTGGGGCTGGAGAGATGTCTCAGCGGTTAAGAGCATTGCCTGCTCTTCCAAAGGTCCAGAGTTCAATTCCCAGCAACCATATGGTGGCTCACAACCATCTGAAATGAGATCTGATGCCCTCTTCTGGCTGCAGACAGACAGAATATTGTATACATAATAAATAAATATTAAAAAAAAAACAAGGAATTGTTTTTATTTCAATTCTTTCTAGAATGCATTGCTTTTTAAGATGTGGAAATGAAGTAGATTTCATGAGCTGTCAAGTATGCTGAGCTTTACTAAAGAGAAGTCAGTCTGTGCCTAGCATAAGCTGCAAACCAGTAAAACAAACTCATACGAACCCTTTAACTGGCCTGATCACATGTCATATTAGCCAGTTTTTCTCCAGTCCTTCACACTGGTCGGAGTGGCCGTTGCTGTATTACAGTGAAGTGAATAGGATTCGTTTATCATTTTGAGGATCAGAAGCGTCAGACCACAGGTGAATTTCCTCAGGAGCATGACGACATCTCATACCCTGGCTAGTGGTCTGTTAGCTGTTGTCTGTGCCTTGCTCGGTGAAAAACACAGGTCCAAGTGTTGACTGCCCCCCAAATCCCAAGAGCAAACATCTCCATCTCCTAACAAAACACTTCTCGCACAAACCCTCCGTGACATGTAAACATTTTTCTTTGTTCTTTTTGGTTTTCAAGACAGGGTTTCTTTGTGTAGCCCTGGCTGTCCTGGGACATGTAAATCTTTAGATGGTTTTTTTAAAAAACATGTTTCTTGTTTAAAAGTTCTTGGTCGGGGGCTGAAGAGATGGCTTAGCAGTTACTTGCACTCTCAGCTCTTCCAGAGGACCTAGGTTCAGTTTCTGGCACCCACATAGCAGCTCCTAATTGCCTGTAATCCAACTTCAGAGGATTTGAAACCCTCACACAGACATACATGTACATGAAATAAAAGTAAATTATTTTTTAAAAAAAGTTATTGGTCGGGTATGGTGTTCTTGTCTGTAATCCTCAGAAGCAGAGGCAAGATCACACTATTTTACCTCCACACCAGTAAGTGGCTGGCAGAACTATCTTGAGTCCCAGCACTGGAACCAGAACCTTCTCTTCCACCTCTGGCACCTTTGTCCTAGTCCCTGTCTCACCAGACCACAGACTTCCCAGAAGTTTTGGGCTAGCCTAATCTACATGTGGAACCTTATCTCAAATGACCAGGAACTCCCTCTGTAGACCAGTCTGGCCTCAGACTCACAGAGATCCTCCTGTCTCTGCCTCCCGAGTGCTAGGCTTAAAGACATGCGTCACCACCTGGCTTAAGGACATTTTCTAATTACATGTAATCCCGCTGTTATAATTTTAAATTCTTTCAGAATAAAGAGCTTTGTGTGTGGTAGTGTACACCTGTAATCCTAACAGTTGGGAGGCTGAAGCAGAAGGATGTCTTCAAGGTCATCTCGGTAGGATAGACTGTCTAAAAACAAGGCCAGTGTAATAACTTGTACTTCCTTTTTTCAATTTTTAAAAATTTTTTGAGTGTATGCCTGTATATGCATATGCAAAGGCCAAAGGAGGATGTTGGATCTCCTGGAGCCAGAGTTACAGGCCGTTGTGAACTACCCAAAGTGAGTTTCGATCACACTAGAACTATCTTGGGTCCCAGCCCTGGAACCAGAACAGAACGCTCCATCTCCCCAGAACCGTCATCCACATCCTAAGATGTGTCACTTCACCTTCCACCCAGCCCCTCAAACTCACTCCTAGTCCTAAAGATGCTACTCTTCAGGCCCAGTCGCAGACCTCCTAGGAGAACGCACTGTCTGCCCAAATGTGAGTTCTGCTGCCTGCCAGATGAGCGGCCCACTCGGGCTCACCAGCTACTGCATCTTGGGAAGCAAAATGCAGTCACATTGTGGGGTATTTGTACACTGAAGATACATTGCTTGATTGGTTTAATAAAGAGCTGAATGTCCAATAGCTAGATAGGAGGTCTAGGCAGGACTTCCAGGCAGAGAAAGAAGAAACAGGAGATGCATCTAGGTACCTGACGTGCCAACAAGGCATAGAGAGAGTCAGGCATACAGAATGAAAGGTAAAAGGCCACAAGGTTAAGTTATAAGAGCTAATGGGACAAACCCAAGCTAAAGCCAAGCTTTCATAATAAGTCTCTGTCATTATTTGGGAGCTAACTGGTGGGACAGAGAAAGGCTAGTTACAATTTGCCATCTAGCATGGGGCTCTAACCCACAGCCCCAGGATTAAGAGTCCCATGCTCTACCAACTGAAATGGGAAATGTTGCAGGAGAATTGTTGGTATAACCCTTCCACTGTGCCAATAAGGCCACCTCAAATCAAAGGATGGAGTCAGCGATTGGCTACTGGGATTTGCCATAGAGTTCTTGAAGGACTGAAGAGATCTGCTAGAGAGGACAGGAAGAGAGGATTTCCAGGGATGCAATTTGGGGAAAACGTGGAGAGAGGGTCAGCCAGCTGAGTCTCCACTGTCCTTGGGTTTATCAGGTCTTTATTTCAATTTCTGCTTCCCGAGTTTTTATTATACTGGAACAATTTAGATATTCATTACAAAGTCATAACTAAGTCAGCCCATGTCTCTATTCCAGGAGTTTGTACCAGTTTTAAGGGGTTCCAGACCCCTGCCACCTGTCCGTAATAGAAAGGCTGACAGACTGTATTTAATGGTACATACTGGTTTGGGAAATATTACACGGTTTTAATAATACTGTTAAACACATGCGCACATGTTCTCTTCCTTTCACAGATGGAGGTAGGAGGTAAAATACTCAGCGGGTTGTGCATGGCCTAGACCACAGGTCCATGAGGCACTTGCTACTTGCTTTTAAAGGTGGCCCAAGAGCCAGAGTCGAGACTGCTGCATCACAACACTGGAGGGTCTGGCAGGGTCCTCACTGGCCTCTGGTCTTTGAAATCACATTTGTTCAAGTGGGTAGGGAAAGAAGGTAGGGCAGCAGCCAGTTCAACAGTCAGAATGATGCTCCTGGAAAATAAAGTGCTCTCAACATTGGTTGATTGATGTGAGTGGATGGGGTGGGGGTAGGAAAGACTTCTTGAGAACATCCCCAGAACCCCAGGACCTCCTAGAGCAGGCCAGTGAACCCAGGAGACAGGATACTTCCACCAGTCACCTGAGAGGTAAGAATAGCAACGTGAGGCTTTGGTGACAGCAGCTCATGGTTGGTAAGGAAGAGAAGACAGCTTGTATAGGATTGGCCTTTGGCCCTTCCAAGGCCCAGCTCTCCACATCTTCCTCACTGGTTGAGTCAGACCCTACCTCAAAGGGCTCCTTCCACGTCTCCAGCCTCTGCCAGAGAAATCTCCTCCTCTTTGATCTTGGTGAAAAAGTTCTGTGCTAACTGAATGGCCCGTCTATTATAAAGCTGTTTAGGCTGCTTCCTAGGAAGGAGACTTAGGGCCCCATCCACGCGGTCGGGCTCCCAGCTGCAGCTAGGGTGCAGCCAGAGGTAGTAGATCAGACGCAAAGCCAGTCCCAGGACGAAGCAGGCTCCTCCTATCATCAACCACATTGGCAAGAAGGTCCCGCTGGGCAGCAGGGTGCTGTGTGTCACCCAGGTGCTGACCAGCAGAATACTGTCACTGAGGATGAAGAACAAGTGGATGACGGACCGGCCTCGGGTGCGGCCCCCAGACACGTTGAACCAGGAGAAATAAAGGATGATTGCCACCGCCACCCGGTACAGCCACTCAAAGTTGGGGTTTGGCATAAATCGTGTGCCTTGAAGCCAGACCCAGAACAACAGCACCAGCCACAGACTGAAGAAATGCAGGGCCAGATATTGGGGGAAGAGAGCTGAGAACAGGGCGACAGCGAAGATTCGGGGACACAGCAGCAGCAGGTTCCACAGGAAGTAGAAGGCAGAGGAGCTCCAGCCCAGGCTAGACTTGGAGGGAAGGCAAGTACGCAGGGATCGGTGGTAGTCCACGAGTGCCCACGAGATGCCCAGGAAGGATGAGCCGATGCCAAACCCTACCAAGAGCAAGAAGAAACGAGTCAGCCTTGAGTGCAGCCTGCCTGGCAACTCCAGGGCTCACAGGAACTCTGGCAGAAACCCTGAAGTCGGTCCTAGAAGCCCCAAGTTATTCAGGAGACAGTTGGCGTTCCAACCGAAGAGAGAGGACTGCTTTCAAATGCTACCCTGGTAGCATAAGGATGGGAGGTGTGTGACGTAGACTCCACTTGGTATTTGGCACTCCTGTGCCTTCACCCTAAGCCTCGTCTAGGTCCTGTCACCCTTCCATTCCCAGAGCCTGGGAATGGAATTAGCAGTTCCACCCCACACCCCCACACCCCCCCCCCGCCCCTTTCTCCGTGTCAGAGGTAGACAGATCTCATGGAGGAGCAATAGGCCTTCTGCAGCTGTCCTCAGGACTGGGAGCAATGGCCTACACCTCCCCACCATTCCTTACTCTCCTCCAGGTACAGCTTGGCCTGTTATCCTGACTTTCCAAGATCTGGTTTAGGATAGGGGTCCTATCCTACCTCTGACATGCCTACCCTGGACTGGAAGCATCCGGGCCTCCAAGGAGGGAGTGGCACGGGCATGCCCTGTGCGTCCTCACTCAACACAAGTTTACTGAGAGCCTCCTGTGTGTCCAGAACTCACCTGTTACCTGGTATCAAATCTTTAGCTAGTCCCATCTCTTGCCTACCCAGGCTACTCACCCTGCAAACCCCAGCTTGAATAACTTCTGGGGTTGCCCTTCTAGACCCCATTTTGCAGCCAGAGGTCCCTGTAATAGTCCACCCACGCCATTAACATAGCAATGGCCTGTTTTGTTTTCGAGACAAAGAGTTTCTCTGTGTAGTCCTAGTTATCCTAGAACTCTGTAGACCAGGCTGGCCTGGAATTCAGATAACCGCCTGCGTCTGCCTCCTGAGTCCTGGCATTAAAGGCGTGTGCCACCACCGTCCAGCCTGTTTTCTATCTTTGAGCTCCTGGAAGGTAGAAAGCTGATTTGGTTCACTTGGGTTCCCCTGGTGGCCCAGTACATGGCACATAATAAATGTTTGCTCAATCAAAAGTTGAGAAAAGCCTGTCTCCTCATGCTCAGCCCACAGTGTTGATCATCTCCGCCTGGCTCTGACCTCAAGGAAATGCCACGTACCTACCAAGTGCTGAAAAGGAGCACCTGTCGGCAGGCACCTCTCTTAAGCGAGGGGTTCTCCCAGGTGCTGTGGGAGTGATGACGAGGGGGCTTCCTCGGGGAGCTGCTGCGGCGGACCTTGAGGTATACATGGATGGGGAACAGAAGGGGGAGCCCTGGGCTCTCAATCGGGTGTGAGGTAGAGCATTGCTTGGTCTTGGAGAAGTCCCTCCCAAGGCTCCTCACTTTCCAGATGTCTCTGAGGGTTTCTGGGGCCCTGTGAGTCTCTGCCACCTGACTCTTGCAGTCACTCAGTACACCTAGTGTAACTATTTGTTTTACAGGCTGGGTGGAGGCTCTGTGTATCTTGTTCACTGCTGTGTCCCCACCTCAGTGACAGACAAAGAACCAACCTAAGTGTCTGTGGGGAGCAGGTGAGGTCCTGAGTGGACCATGTCACATACCCCCGTGCCTCAGGCCCATGGGAACAGCAAAGAGCCCAGTCTCAGAACACACATTAAAAAGCAGCTGGCCTTTAGCTAGAATCAGTGTGCACCGAAACTTCAGGTGCGCTGTGCCGCTGCTTCAGAGCCCGAGGCCCACCCTAGCTCAGCGTTTTTAGGTGCCTGTTTCTTTATTCCGGTTGCCGGTTAGGTCACTCCCTAACCCATGCAGGTTGAAGCAGTGCTCAATAAAATGTCCATTACCTAGCAAGCCTATCATTATGTATCAGGTAACCTATATACTTTATTTATTATCATCAAAGTAATAAAAAGTACAGCACTGGGCAAGCAAAAGCAGGGGAATTCTGTGAGTTTGAGGCCAGCCTGGTCTATATAGTGAGAGCCTGTCTCAAAAAAAAAAAAAAAAAAGATGGAGAGCAACTGCAAAATACACCTGACACTGACCTCTGCTTTCTGCACATACACACATGCACCTGCAAACACACACAAACATATGCACACATTTTCTGTGCGAGGCCCTGAGCTCTATAGGCATCGCCCACATTTAACCTGCTCATTCCTCCACAAGGTAGTTTCATTTGTTATGCCCGATGCTCAGATGAGGATAAACTGATCGTTTGAGTCGCTTTTCTAACTCCATGCAGCTTGAATGACTTTAGATCGGAATCCACTAGCTAAGGCTCCGTCTCCCTGCTTTCCTTCTGTCCACTAAGAGCGAGGACACTGCTAACACTGAGGGGCACCAAAGGGGTTCTCACTGGCCCGGCACTCACACTGGTAGTATTCAGCTTGGCCACTCTTCAGCACGATAGCCAGCACCAATGTGAGCTGTGGTGTCGCCTCCAAGAAACTCTCAAAGAGCCGCAGCATGCTGATATCCAGGGACAGGAAGTCTGCATAGGCTATGTCACTCTCGGTTGGCAGCTCCTGCTGCAACAAGGCCAGCCCCTGCTGCAGCCCGTGCAGGCACCTAGGCAGAACACACACATAGATGCCCAGCGGGTCAGGTCAGTGTTCTGGAAGTCCCTCCATTTCCGACCACTGAGTGCATGGAGGTGGGCTTCAATCCTAGCTTGTCACTTAACTGCTATGGAACCTCAGGCAAGCCACCTAACCTCACAGAACCTGTTTCCTCATCCTTTAAGTTGGGGACATACAACTGCCATGCTTGCTGGTCAGGCGTGGTCCCGAGTTTAACCCAATTCACCAAGGCCCCGTCCTAGAGATGGGAAATGGAATTGAAAAGCAAGCAAGGGGCCTGCGATGGTGTAGCAGTTCATGGCAGCCGCCGCATGAGGTGGTGCACCTCTAACTCCAGCTCCAGGGGATCGGATGCCCTCTCTGGCCTGTCCTTCACACCCATCCGGGCTATACTTGTACTCCCTCGGGCAAATCGCGAACATTCAAAGCCCCAACCCCACTGCTGGAAGCCGAATGCAGCTTTGCAAAGATCTGAGGGGAATTAATTCCACAACAGATTCTGCATCCAGTCACCCAACCCAACCCAACCTACACCACACCACACCATGAAGCCCTGCCTTCCATGGCATGACCCTGACTCCTTGACTTTACTTTTTCTCGTCTCACCCAAGGGCTTATTCATGATTTCAAAAAAAAAAAAAAAAAAGTCACGGGCTGGAGAGATGGCTCAGCGGTTAAGAGCATTGCCTGCTCTTTCAAAGGTCCTGAGTTCAATTCCCAGCAATCACATGGTGGCTCACAACCATCTGTAATGAGGTCTGGCCTGCAGACATACACACAGACAGAATATTATATACATGATAAATAAATATTTAAAAAAAAAGTCACCAGGCCAGCACTGTGCCAGGAACTGTCCTCACTTGTCACTTCTGGCTGAGCCTGGGAAAAAAACCACACAGTCCAGACATATTTTCTGTGTCCAGCCCTGGCTGGCTCCAGGGACACAATGAGTAAGGCAGGACCCATCTCTGCCTTCTTCATTCCCTGATGGGGAGGCAAATGTTCACAGAAAAGGACAAAATTAAGAAAGAAGGGAAAGGGGGCACTGTCCTGGAAGCTGGAGCTGCTGCCCAGGAAAGACATGAATTGTGCCAGGACAATTTACGGACATGTGCCTCTATTCTGCTCAGAACACCAGTAGCAACTATTGCCAACCCAACTAGACACCGAGTAAACTGAGACCAGAGAGGTCAGTGATCATTCAAGGGCCTAGTCACAATAAAAGTATAAAAAAAGTCACACAAGGTGGTCCACATCTTTAAAGGCAGGTAGATCTGAGTTTGAAGCCAGCCTGGTCTACAGCGCGAGTTCCAGACAACCAGAGCTACGCAGAGCAACCCTGCCTCGAAAATAAATAAATAAACAAACTAAATTAAAATTAAACTAATAAAAATTAAGAAACACTCTTCTCTTCGGGCCCACATTATTGCAGGGACTTTCTCACTAGACTTGGCTCTGACGGCTGTCAACCCACGTTCCTCTCCTCGACGGTCAGGGCACTCACCTGTACAGATAGCCGAGCTGCAGCACATGCAGCAGCGTCAGGAAACGACGCGAGGGCAGCGACTTGTGCAGCTCGGTGGGGTCGGTGGTCAGCCAGACCCAGCTGAAGAGCTGCAGCAGCACAGAGGCGAGGCACAGCAGCACCACTACCAGCGCGGCCCACAGGTAACGGCCACCGAGCGCGTACTGGACGACGGCCCACAGGTCGGCGGCCAAGTCCAGCAGGAAAGACAGGGTGCCCACCACGCCCACGACCACGTCCAGGAATAGAGGGGAGCGCAGCGAGACAGGCATGGCCCTCAAGCTAGCCTGGCAACCGCGGGCCTGCCTTCCAGCCCCCTGTCGTCCGGCAGGAAGGGGGCGGGGCAGTCGGGAGGCGGGGCTGAGGGGCGGGACTTCCCCCTCTCGCCCTGCCCGGGGAGGAGCGAGACGCCCAGACCCCGCCCCCAGCCCACCCTGTCCTGAGCCCGGCTTCTGCGGACTTAGATTTTGCGTTTGACGTTCAAGGAGGCGGGAATGGCCGCAAGATTACAGCCTAGAACCCCGACCACAGCTGCGATCCCTCACGGTTGCACTGTCGCGAAACCAAACCAGAAAACTTTTTAAAAAGTACCTAGGGGTTTTGCAGACCACGTGGGCACCCAGCTCAGCCCTTGATCAGGGACTATGTCTAGAGCACAGGATCTCCAGGTTCCTGGTGACTCACTTTACTGCAGCCATCAAATGCATGGAAATTGATATATATGTATTAAAGGAAGTAACGCACAAAAAGACACGTACCACGAGCATGTTTTGTGGATAAAATGTGAAACTTGAATGACCTCTCTGGTGAATCCAAATGTCCCATTCTAGTTTACTCTCCGCGGACAGGAGAGGCTGATAGCGACGTTCATCCCTCCGTGGGGTGACGCTGCCCAATTTTACCGGGAGAAAGGTGAACCCAGTAAGAGGGGAGGTTGGCGGTGCCTACAGTCAAGGCACCACCAACATGGACAGCAGAGTCAGCACGAGCAGGAAACTGGGCTCCAGCTTCGAGCCAAGGCCATGCAAGCAGGTAGCATAAGTGTTGAATGCCACCTGCTGCATGGCACACACATGCTCGGCGCGGCAGATGTCCCCGCAGGTCGAATGGTCATAGCTGACGGAGTTATAGATGTAATAGCGTTGCAGCATGTGCTGGTCACTGGCGATGCGGGTCAGAGCCGTATGCATGGAGTCGGTGCCTGCATCCTGCACCTGGTAGGCCTCTGTCAGGCGGTATTCCAGCTCCCAGCGTGGGGTCCCTTGTGTATTCGCCTGACTCAGGTTCAAGAAGTAGGTCACCATGTCCTGGATTAGAGACACGGGGTATGTCAGTAATGACTAGTTGTTCCCTCCTACCCACAACCCAGCCTGTCCCCAGGCTCTTCAGAGCCATCATACCAGCCGCTGTTTGTTACTGAGCTCAGCCCGGCAGACCTGTGCTTGGTTCTGATGAGGTAATTACACCTACACCCCTATTCTAAGGAGTTTGTTATGGTTTGAACCGGAAGCGTACACTACAGGCTCATTTTGAATGTTTGTTCTCCAACTGGAAGCGCTATTGTGGGTAGCTGTAGAATTTTAGGAAGTAGAGTCCAGCCGGCAGAAGCAGGCCTTTGAAGCTGGGTCTGGAGCCACCTCTGCTTCCTGCTCAGTGGCAATGAGGAGTCTCCCTGATTCAAGCCACAGGCCCTCCCTCCCAGGATGGAGTAAAACACTCTGAAACCATGACGTTGGTATCGCGAGCACAGTCCTGCAAAAGCAAGTGTTCAGTGGCAGGGGTGTGATTAGAACCCAGATTGCTTACCTCCCTATGCCTATGTTTCCTGTCCTGCCAAACTGGCAGGCACAGATCCTAGCAGAAGCTCTGACGCTCGGCAAATCTTTACAGAATGAAGGGGAGCAGCCGTGGTGGCGGCGGCAGGTGGGGTGTGTGCCTGGCTGGCAGAGGCTAGAGACCTGCGGCTGATAGGGATTTCACATCCAAACTAGACTCTCTAGGACTCGGCAGTGCCTTCAGAACCGGAACACACTTCCCCGTGAAATGTCTGGTTATTACGGACAGGTAATGGGTGGGAACTGAGTGTGCCAGGTACGTGACGTTACTGTACTAAGTCCTCTCTGAACTGTGACTGCCACTGTACAGAGAAAGCAATGGAGTGGCCATGAGGACAACAGGAATCCTCGGGCCTAGGGCCAACGAAATGGATCCCCAGAATCCACATGGAGAAAAGCAAGAACTAACTTTGGTAAGTCTCTCTCTCTCTCTCTCTCTCTCTCTCTCTCTCTCTCTCTCTTTCTCTCTCTCTCTCTCTCACACACACACACATACACACACATAAATTTTTTTTTTCAGTTCTTAGAACAGAGCAGGGGAGATGGCTTAGTGCTTAAGTGTTTTTTAAATTTTATTTTAGTTTTAATTTTGAGAGGTAAACACTGGGCAGTGGTGTAGAGCATATACACATGCATGCAGGTACCCACAGAGGCCAGAGGACGGTATCAGACTCTCTGGGACTGGAGCAAGAGGCAGTTGTGAGCTGGCTGATGTGGGTGCCAGGAGCCAAACTTGAGCACATACTGTTAACCACTGAGCCATCCCTCCAACTCCCAAGGCCACTTTCTGCACAACTATGAGGAATTGAGTTTGTATCTTAGTGCACATGTGTGCACACACACACATTACAGGTCAGGGTATGGAGGCTCACAGCTATAATCCCAGCACTCAGAAGAAGACTGAGGCAGAAAGATTGTATCAGGGCTGGAGAGGTGGCTCAGGAGTTAAGAGCAGGGACTGCTCTTCCAGAGGACTGGGGTTCAATTTCCAGTACCCACAGCAGCTCACAACTGTTTGTAATTCCAGTTCCAGGGAATCTGACAGCCTCGCACAGACAGACATGCAGGAAAAACACCAAAGCACATAAAATAAATGATTATAATAAAAAGAAGAAAGAAAGATTGCATCAAGTATCTGTCAGCAAATCCTGGCTCCTCAGCCTCTGAAATGCCTGCAGGATCAGATACTTTTCAGCACCCTGAGCTGGGCCACCACCCTCAGGCAGCTGGTGTTTGGTTGGTTGGTTTTTTTTTTTTTTTGTTTTTTTTTTTTATGGTTTTTAGAGCGGGGGTTTCTCTATGTATCTCTGGCAGTCCGGGAACTCACTCTGTAGACCAGGCTGGCCTCGAACTCACAGAGATTTATCGGCCTCTGCCTCCCAAGTGCTGGCATTAAAGGTATGTGCCACCACCGCCCTCTGGCAGCTGGTGTTTTTACTTCCTTACTGTGCCTGTGTCTTGGTCACAGCAGTCTGCTCTTTGCTCAGCAGACAGTGATTCTGGAAACGGTGAATCAGAGCAGTTCACACTTCTGTCCCCAGCTCTGTAAATCCAGAGTGCTCCCCATAACCTGGATGTGGCCCGGTGCTTTCCACTTTCCCCTTGTGCTTCCAGGGTCACCCACTCTCCATGGTCTTCCCCTAAAACACCAAGTCCCTTTCCACCCCAGGGCGTTTGCCTTGCTGTTCCCTCCACCTTCTTTACAAACCCAGTCGGCTTCCTCAGGTTACGCAGAACTCAAAAGCCTCCTTACTTCCCTTGTCCCATCTCTGTAACACAGTCAGCCCACTCGCTCCAGAGCTGTCAGCCCCTTTACCCTCCCTCCCATCTCCATCCCACCAGCCCTCTTTCTTTCTTCAGTGTTGGAAGCCAAGCCTACTGTCTCCTCCACCTTAAGCAAGCACTTTGCCACTGAGCTGTGGCCATTCTCCCCTTCCCTACCCCCCTTTGGAGACAGGGTCTTCTTGCTATGTTATTGTCTGGTCTTGAACTCACTATGTTGTCCAGGCTGGCTTTAAATTTCAGTCCTGTGCCAGCAGACCCAGCTACCGCCCTGCCTTTCCTGCCACCCATGTTTAATTGTATTTATTTGTTTACTGTGGTCCTCCTGTAGGGATTTTGGCGAAGGAGAGCAGTTACTCTGTTGTTGTGTTTGTATCCCGAGCTTTGAACAGGGCCTCGCATGCGGCAGGTGTTTAGAACATTTTGCTAAATGAATGAAGTAGTATTTCTTTGTCAATTCAACAATTCCAGCACATCTTAGAAGGGAAAGAAGTACTCATGGTGTTAGGGGCTGGGTCCTAGTTGGTGTAAGGTCAGGGGCAATGGGCTTGAGCCCAGACTGCGGGAAGTCTTCCATACCAGCCTAAAGAGAGGCGATTTTAACTTAAGATCTGTAAGTAGCAGCGAGGCAATATGAAGTCAGTACTTTAGGAAGATGAATCCCTCCTGAGTGTGGCAGGAGGAAGGGGACAGTGATCCGGTACAAAGACTTGGGGGGAAAATTGACCTGAGTAGGTGGCAGGTGGCTCCAAAGTTTAACCAGCGTTCCCTTCCAAGGTTCAGCGGTGAGTAGGTAGCAGGAGGGTTAGCTAAGGGTTAGGAAAGGCAGTGACACACTCAGGTGCCCACCCCTGGCCCCAGCAGACCCACGCTCCTAACCTGCAGCTTCAGTGTGACTCGGTCATACTCAAAAACACGGATGCCCGGATTGTTGGCTCCGTTGACCACTCCAGGTAACGTGGTCTTCCACGGCGTGACCCCAGGTGTGAGGAACATGACACTTATGGGGGCACCTTCGAGGAAAAAGACAACAGGCTGAAAGGGACTCTGGGAAGAGGAAAATGGCAAAGGGCTACTTCCTCGAGACGGGGTGAGTACCTGCATCGTCATAGAACATTCGGAAGCTGTCGGTATGGTGGTGCCCGAAGAACTGCCCCGCTATGACACGGTGGTGCTTCTGGACCACCCTCAGGTACTCCTCGTTGAAGCTCTCTCGGAACCAGGCCTTGTCCTGGGTCTTCTCGAAGAACCCCGGGGGCACGTGGCCAATAATGTAGACCTGCAAGGAAGAGGTACTGGGATCAGAGATGCTCTCTCTGTTTCCACCTTCGGGAACCCGCCCATGTCCTCGAGGGCAGGTGGACCTCCCTCTGAATGGAACCCCAAAGCACCTCTTCCACAAACCCTTCCTGGTCTTTCGACGGGTGCTCTTGTCATCTCAGAACTGGGACTGAGCCTCCCTGGCTGTGTGAGAACACTACGTGGTCACGTGCATTTGTGTTTGATGTTCCCCAAGTCACCTGGGCACTTGATCACCAGTACAGAAATGCAGAATGAAGTAGAATTCAGAGCATGTCCTTAGTTAGGAGTGGTGGCATGCGCCTTTAATCTAACCCCAGCACTCGAGAGGCAGAGGCAGCGGATCTCTGGGAGTTCAAGGCCAGCCGGGAGTACGGAGTGAGAAAGTGAACTGTCTTAAAAAGGTAATGCGTGTGAATGAGCTTTGGCGTCAAACTGCAGATTGGCCACCAGCCAAATGTCATCTCCCCGAGCTTCAAGTTCCTCATTTAGAAGAGTACTCACCTCGTAGAGTGAACTGGCTGGCTTTATGTCAACTTGATACAAGCTATAGAGTCATCAGAGAGGAAGGAGCCTCAGCTGAGGAAAAGCCCCCACGAGATCCAGCTGTAAGGCATTTTCTCATTTAGTTATTAATGGGGAGGTGTCATGACAGCCCATGGGGGTGGTGTCATCCCTGGA